TTACTATGTTATTTTAGAAAAACTGATGGTGGTGGAAAAATACACGGAAACGTATTTTAATTGATAAATAAAGACAATAAATGACTGAAACCCAGGAATTAATTTTGATTTGGAATCGAAACACAGTCAGGAAAGTATATACAATGATTGAATTTATTGAAAATGCGCCGATAACTTATTTTCCAATGAAGAAATTCGCGATATGAGACTTTCAGAGAAAAGAAACTGGACAGACAACAATTTTTGAGGCAAAATACCCAAAAAAATGTTTTGAAAATATACCGTTTTATTCGACATTTTCTCAACTAAGGGGCTAAAATTCTAAGGAAAATTAATACCTTCACTTCTCGAAACCCTTCACATTTTATTGTGCAAACGGTTTTTGGTGCGTTCGCTTGAAGTCCTCCTTACTATAGGGGTGTCCTGTATGTAATTTTATATTATTCCTTTATGTCTAAATATGACTGCGGGACACCAGAAAAGCCCTTCCATTCATAGCTGACAATGCTGCGCCCTTAATTTTGCTTTGAACACGCTTTCTACCCAATGGCGTATTGCAAACGACAGTGTACAGTGTTAAAAAACTGTGTACTGCTCAAAACACTGTATTTGCGCTGGTTGCAAAAGCATTTCACTGCGCTGTTAGTAATTATTTTCATATTCAATATTGTCACTTTTAGTTGAGACTTAGTCAATAGTTTGCGCCGGTCGAGGTGTCGGAAGATCCTTTTAAAGAAAATATGATAAAAATGCACCAAAATCAACTGCCATAGCAAACAGCAAAATAGTATCAGTAAATATCTATAAAAGTTCCCCGGAAACTGAGAAGTAGAGCAATTAATAGATGACAAAAGCAGCAAAAGTTCTGAAAAACGAAGGAAACTCTTCAAATTTCAGTTTCATTTGTAATGTTTTTCCAGCTTGCAACATCAATCGAAAACAGACAATTTTTTCTGAAACAATCTGGTACAAGTTTCCGTACAATTCGCATCACAACCACCAACCACCGGCTGAAATTCTACCCTACATAAGGAAAGAAAATTCTTGCCGCATGATCACATAGTCCGCAAATCATGGGCCGGAATTCCTCAAACACACCCGCTTCCGCCGATTTGAAAGCGGATCTGCTTTGGGGCAACCCTCGACTTAGATTCACCGATATACTTATCATACAAACCTTCAGCTTTTTGGATCATTCAATTCAAGTTGTAAAGTGGTTGAAGGGACTTGAATCTACTGGCTAAAATGCCTCGCCTGTGTAGGCCCGAATCAACGCAATCAAAGCTAGTAAAATTGAAATAAATTGATATGTTTTAGAGTCAATTTTCCCATTCGATGTGGCTCTGAAGCCATTAAGAGCGTTCGTAATTTAATCCAGCTACATTTTCACAGGGAAGCATCGGAAAAACTAATCGACTTCATGTCTGGAAGTCCTTATTTCCTTTCCCCCAAAGGGCTCTTTACTTATTCATATTCCCCAATCAAACTGAATTAAAAGCAACCATCTAATTCCTCATTAAGATAATGTAGATTGATGTTTCGCTTCGACGATACTAAAAATGCGGAAGAAAGGTGAGTTTCATTGAAATAGATTAATTTTATAAAAATGTCTGGGATGCATGCGAGCTTATTTAATACCGGAATGTTATCTTTATAGGTAATAATGAATGTGCCAAAGAAGCCAGTAGCGGGTGATCGCTAAGGAAGCTTTAATTCAGCGGAATAAAATCAGAAGTTTTCCATACGTTCTTGCTCGTGCTGCTCCAGTTAACTCTGCATTGTGACAATAACTGTAATTAACTGATTTTGTAAAGAACTCTGATAATATCAAAAAGATAGACTTTAGAGGCCATTTCTTGAAACTAATGAGTTTCTCGGGTTTTTAGGCCGTCCTTCGGTAGAATTTCATCCTGACGTTTCGCAAGCACGAGTGGCTTGCATCTTCAGAAGTGGTTTGCTTGAACGCTTACACTGTTCCGATGCGATTCCTCGGGCGCGTCCGTATTTATGCAAGCGGTGCATAAAGATGCAAGCCATTCGAGCTTGCGAAACGTCCGGAAGAAATTCTACCGAACGGCGGCCTAAAAACCTATTAGTTTCAACTCTGATAATACTTTTGGGATTTCTTGTCAGTTAAATTCCGCAATGAATGCAATTAAATCGATTTAATGGTGAAACAAGAAAATCTGCACCACTGGATTGTGGCTCTATCTGAGAGTTTACGATCCGGATGTATGCATGTTTGGCGGTCGCAATTTAATGGGGAAAAATTGACGAGACCACCGACAACACAAAATAAATTCATTATAAAGAAAGAAATTGCATGCCTCCTTCTATTTACAAAACTTCAGCACGAGCCATACTAAATTTGTCAAATTTTCTCATTTAATCAGTCTTAAGGTTCGCGTGTCAGAAGAGTTATTTATAAAAATTTCCAGATGACGCCATGCTGTTTGCTTTTTGCGCTATCCTACAGGGACAGATGTTTATGGGGGCAAAGTGGAAAAACGAGAAAAAAAATCCCTAACAAATAACGATTATTTGGCTTTAGTGTGACTGAAGCGGTTTTCGTGATAACATTTAGTCTTTGTTACCCCCGGGCTGAAAGTCTCATGTTTTAAGGTTTTTTTTCAACAGACGAGAACCATCTGAATATTTTATATATTTGCCGAGTTGGGTTGGAAATTGGCCTTTGTATGCATTTTTGAGCCAATAATGACTACCTATGGTTCTGTCTATTAGGCGATTCCGAATGGGAATTTCGGAAATTTCCGAATAAACCCGCCAGCTCCCCAAGGCGTGATTCCGAATGCGATAAAAATACTTATCCGCTGCCCCCAAAAACAAACATCATTCCCGAAGAAGAAGTTATGTTCGGGCGAATTTGAAATAATGGTTCAGCAATGACTGGGTAATTTTTTTCCAGGCGCTGAAACTGACGTAAGACATATTATTTCTGATAACCGAATAGGCCCACACCGACTTGATTAATCTTTCAAGTTGGTTAAGTTTTAAATGAAAATAAATATACAAGCTCTTATTCGGGATTTGGGCAACAACTCTATTGTACCAAACAAAATCGTATGTTTTCTGCATGGGAAAACCAAGACGTTTGAGGCAATTGAGACAGTTTTACAACGAAAAAGTTTTTTTATGTTTGGATGTTCTTGGTCCAAAATCAGCGATCAAAAGTATGGTTTTTTAGCACAATCCAACTAATAAGCACCGCTGTATAGGGTGGTCTTCAACTAGTGTGGAGCCAAAAATATTGCGCTTCAGGCAAATCTGTCTTATGCGTTCTTTAGAACAGGAAATCCGAATTTTCTATTCAAAGCTTTGAGGTCCTAAAAGGCGCAAAAGGCTGCTCTCCCATATTTTTAAAACAAAAAATTCGTATTCGGTTCAAGTCGATATTTTTCACCGTTTTCGAGATATTTCACATTGAAACATCTAGTGATTTTTTGAACTACCTCAAATTCGGTTCCTAATTTTAAGAGGATACACAAAATTTGTTTTCCTGTTAGATTGGTGTCAGTTAGGTGCAAAAAGACATATTTTAACTTCGAATTTACACTGAACTTAGTGAAAATTGATTTTTTTGAAGTCACCCTGTATATTATAAAGATAGACAAAAATTCAATTTCAAATTCAAACAGAATTCGGATTTTATGTCTGTCTTTATGATCTTGTTGTTGCAGTTCGAGAAAAAGTTCTTTCAACTGAGAACATATGGAAGTTTCGGAAACCCTGTAAAAATTTGTTATGTTTATTATAAAAATATTGAAACTTCCTCAATTGGTTGCAAAAAAGTTCTCCAAGGAAAAATCGGTATATACAACAGTTTCCGAGAAAATTGAGGTTGTAACTTGGAGGACTTGAGAGGTTGATGATTTTTGGAAACGCACTCTTTGGCTCCAAACTCGATTGATTTTGTGCTGTTTGAAAATTCAGAGACTCTCCGGCTACACTAACCAAGCAAAATGAAGTTTTGAGAAAATTTTTAATTGTTTTTGCAAAAATTTTTGGAAAAAATCATACATTTTTTGCTCAAAACTTTTGGTTTGGCATGAGCAATGGAAATTTCAAAAAGTATTCAATTGCCCAAATGATTCTCCAAGATATCGCTCCCAATGCAAAAAATCTATCTGGCTGCGTTTGCCAGCAAATGGACTTTGAAACTTCAAAAACATCAAGCAGAACAACTTCGCACTAGCCGCGTCTTATCAAATAATTGAAATTCAGAAATGAAGAATTTTTGTAACTTTTTGCGAAAAACGCAATATTTTTGCATAAATAATGTCCCATTAATTGAGGACCACCCTGTAAAGAGAGTTTGGGTCAATAATGAGCAGGAACTCCCCAAACCGCTCAAAAATGAGTGAAACGTTCGATTTCCACACACTCACATATACCGCTTTGACTTGATGGTAAAAAACTAAGATTACTATACAGGGCGATTCAGGTTTAAGGATTTTTACCCTCTTTTCTTTGCCTTCATCGGTTTTTATCCACTGATTCTGGATAGAAAGAATAAATCTCTGGATAAGCGATCATTTGCCAAACCTCATCGAAACCAAAAAAAATAAAATTATATAAAACAAAGGTAAAACCTTATCATTGACCATCACGAACCGTTCCATCGGCTTCCTGTTCTACGGTTATCGCACGTTAATCAAATTGGTTGTGGTTTAGCGACAGGTTTAATTGCCTAGTAGATCAGTTCTGATTATTCGAAATTCGTTTTCCTTTTCTCTATTTAAACAAATAATCCTGGCGTGATAGCGATGGGTATAATTATAGTGTTTTCTTGGACGGTTCAGTTTTGAAATTGTATTTTTTTCTGTTGTTTATTGTTCGCGATAACTGCGACACTGCAATAAACAAAGTCAGCCTGATTTGGCTGATAGTTTTGCTGTTTTACTGGCGCAACAACCGCGACTATCGGAGTGTGGAAAAAGACAGTGTTATTATACTTTATCTTCCAGCAAATACGGTGACTATTCATACTGATTGGAAATGCAACAATTTAAATTAATATGGTGGCTAATGGAAAAATTATGACCATTCAGCTTCAGCTGCGTGCTGGTGCGACAACAATAATCAATAAAAGTTACTAATTGCCTATCTGAAGTTCAACAAAATCGAATTGACTCGCGAAAAAGCTGCCAAAGTGTTCAGTAATCAACCAATTAGCTTAAATTGTTGTGTCGACAGGTAAGCTGAGTAAGCAGTTGCTCCGAAAATTAATTATTACGCTTTTTAGTGCCGCTTACATAATAGAATGTATAATTATCTGAAATTCATCTGTGCATATGGTTGGTTTTTTTGGCAGGCTGTTTGGTAGGTAAGCTGGTTTTTACCTACCTACATACAGCCATTTACGTTTCTCCTTTTTTAATGGAAAGCAGCTGATCGGCAGGTGAGCGCCGCCGGAGCTTTAGATAACTGACTGAAACACCCAAGAATGAACTACCTGCTTTGGATGGATTGTAGACGATATTCCTTGCAATCTGTAGCAGAAATGGCTGAAATCCTACGTTTCAATATTTTGGTACTGTAACTAATAAGAATGGGATGTTGACTCAAAAAACGACAATTTTTTGAAGGGCTGCTAAGTTTTGGGCAATTCGTTCGGTAGAATTTCTTCTTGACGTTTCGCAAGCACGAGTGGCTTGCATCTTCAGAAGTGGCTTTCGTTCAAGCAAATGCTTTGCCATTCAAAAGCAAATGCCATTCAGCTTGAAAGGGATAGAGGTCGATTTTTTCCAAATTTCTCAAATTCCTCAAAAGCCTTAAAATTTTACATCATTTTCGTTTTAAGCAAGGGACGAATGCAATCAGCTTATTGAAAACACGCTAGAAGCTTTAGACTCGAAATAATCGATTTTTTGGTCCATTTTTACGGTTTTTGAGCCATSATGAGCTTTRACCGACAATATTATTTTCCTTATTATTGACCGAAACACATCACATATGCACATAAGGCAGCTTACTAGGTTGGAGGCAAACCATTCAGCTTGAAAAACCAGCATGTAAAATTTTGATTTTTGACCGAAAACTTTATAAGGGGGCAGAGGTCGTTTTTTCAAAATGTTTTCAAATTTCTCAAAAACCTTGACAGTTTACATCATTTTCTTTTTAAACAAGCGACGAATGCAATCAGCTTATTGAGAAACACCCTAGAAGCTTTAGACCCGAAATAATCGACTTTTTGGTCAATTTTTAGCGGTTTTTGAGCCATCACGACCTTTAAGCGACAATAATTTCCTTATTATCGACCGAAACACATCACATATGCACATAAGGCAGCTTATGAGGTTGGAAGCAAACCATTTTACTTGAAAAACCAGCATGTAAAATTTTGA